AGGCGAATGTGTCCAGTAACTAGTTTATCAGAGTCTGACGCCACGTCTGGGATACCTGTGGGTAAAAACTTACATAGTGTTCGTGACTCCCTTTTCATTATAATGTGAGGGAAGTACACTATGAAGAGGTTGCAGGCACTTTGCATTTATGCTGGGCACTGCATTCCTTTTTTGCTATGTGGCATGTTAATTTATATTGGGAAGTTCCATTCACTTCTCATTTAGATACAATATATTTGGTTTCCAGATGTTGCTGGCATCTGGTTTGTTGTTTTCATTGGCAAATACCTTGTAGCAAGTGTTACATTGGGAATGCTTATAACACGGGTACTCGTTTTATAAGCAAGCCCCTCTCCATTTATTTCTGGTTGTATTTCATGACAGTCCTTATTTTCCTTCTCCTTTTTTTCCTTTTTCTTTTTTCCTTTTAAACATCATCCTTTGTTCACACTGCTGCTGGACTGCAGCTCCATCTTTTTCATTCTCATTAGTCCTCAGGTGCATGCTGCCATGTTCAGTTGATGGGTGATGAGAATCCCTGCAAGACTGCAAATGAGCAGACAGAAAAGAAATGGAAATGATAGCTGCTTTTTCTTCTCTCTGTCTTGTGAGCTCAGAGCTTCTCAGTGAGGAAGGGTCAGTAGCCCCCAAGTGCTGCCTCTGATGCTTTAAAATTTTTTTTTTTGAGCACTCTACTATAAAAATGACTAAAGTAATTGTAAGCCTTAGCATATCTCTTGTCCCTGTCACACAAGGGTGATGGTGAATGGCAGTCAGGTCTTAAAAAGTGGTGATGTTTGTCATTTTATGAAGTTATACTGAGTTTCTGTTCCTCTCTCTCTCTCCCTCTTGTTTTGTCACTTTCCTCGCTCTGTGTAGGTTGCTCCACTTCTGCTTCAAATTAGCTGAAGCTTCAGAGTTGACCATTAAGCTTTGCAACCTTTGGGCAAAATCATACCTATTCAAAACCCTCCCCTCAAATGCACCAGCTAAGGAACTTGGGAAGGCTGGGGAAGGAAATAGTTGAACAAGAAGGGGAAAGTTAGGTAAGGAAGAATTGTTTCTGAGAAGAGTGTATGGGAGTCCAAAAGGGTAGGTTGTAAAAACAGTGTCAGAAATGTGCTTAACTTTTTTTTTTTCCCCCCCCCCACCTTCCTGTGTCATATTCAGGTTTGTAATAACAAACCCTGATCAAAATGAGTTATCTTCTATAAGAATCTTCCAGCCAGAGCTAGCAGTTGTTTTTGGCCATCAGTCTTAGTGGAGAGAACGCTGACTCACAGGTTACCCGGGTACAACAGTCTGTATTTTCCTTGCTTTTCTCAACACTTGCTGTATGAATGTGTTGAAGTATATTTGTGTATCTTTTTATCTTTCTGTGGTTTTCTTATTTCAAAAACCAAAAACTGTTCATGTTCTTTGTGTGAAAGAGAGATTTTTTGCTTGTCTCAGCAAAAACAATATCATGATACGTTAAAAATTATGTTCAACTGAAATGGAATGCAGTAAGTTGCCAAGCAGTGTTAAAGGAAACACCCCGATAAAGCAAACACTTACTTACATCCTACGTGAGTTCCCATGTCATGTATTTAGCGTGTAGTTCTTAGGAAGTAAAGACTATCATTTAGACATACTGCTTGTTCTTTCTGATGTCATTTTCTGCTGATTTTCATATTCAGTTTTAGGAATTAGGAAATGTACTTTTGGCTTCTATGTGTTAGGCAAGTGGATTTTTTTGTTTTTTTTTCCCATCACATCTTCAAGGTGTAATAGAGCATAAGTACAAATGTCTGTCTTGTATTCACATTAACCCAAAGTCAAACAAGCTATGTAATACCCTGGGTTGAAAGTCCCTCTGGACTCTGTCAGGTCACTTCCCCTAGCAGACTGGTTCTGTCCCTTTTTCTGAATCTAGGAAACTGTTTCCTCCTCTTTTCTTGCATGCTCCAGGAGACTGACCTTCTGAAGAAGCCATCAGCCAGCAGAGTTGGCATGAGGCTAGCCTGTAGGAACTACTCCATCTGGCTTGTTGTACAGTCTGCTGTCATGAAGTGGAGTCCCTTCTACATTAGGCGCTTGCAGAGTTAGATTAAATCTAGACTTCAGCAAGCAGCGGTCTCATAGGCAGACCAGTTGATTGCTGTCATACTAAGGCAGTTAAATAGTAAGCTTTCCAAAGCAATAGTTTGCGTTTCATGAGATGGCTTTTTTCTTTTTCTGTCACTGGAAGGTGTGTAAAATGGGCTGTTGAAACAGTCTCACCATTGCTTGAAGCGGTATAAGTGCTCACTTGGGGGTTTGGTGAGGTGGAATTTTTTGTTTTACTGATTTAAAATAAAGATAAAAATATCAATTACCAGGTGCATTCACCATCCAAAACTAACCACTGAATATGCAGATGGTAATTTGTGAAGACAGATGGTGTCTGACACTTGCATTTCTGTTTGCAGCTGAGGCAGGGGCAGTTTTGCAGCAAAGGATGGGGGAGAACATTCAAGTGGTCAGAAGGAATAGGTGCTTGGTCTGGGAAAATAAGTGATGGAAAAGTTCCTGGGTAATATTTAGGCAAGGAGGGAAAGAAGATAAGAAAGAGGAGGGGAAAAAAAAACTAAAAAACCAGAGGAGTGTACTTCTTCTCTTTCTATCTGTCAGACTATCTAGTATGTGCTCTCCTTTCCACACCAGTGAATCCTGTCTCATCACTGTGAAAAATATGATTGGGCTATAAATAAAACTTTTTATTTTTAAATGTAGGCACTGCATGAAGTTATTAATCTGTTGTAAATGCTTGTGGCAGCTTAGCATTAGAGAGAGTACTTTCGGGGATTTTTTTGCATACAAATTAATCTGTCAGGCTGTCACATTTAAGGCTCTTGACAATTCACATTTGACTGATACCACAAATTATGAAGGCCTGGTCTTAGAGCTGAGTTAAATCCAAGTGATTCTTTGTTTTTTGAGAGCAGCATTGTATTCATTTCAGTCCAGTTGCTGTCCAGCCCTGAGAGTTGTTTTGATGAAGACCTGGAGTAACTCTTGACCAATTAAAGCTTAAAACCAAGATTTACAGGCTGCTGAAGCCATTGTATTAGACATAGTCAGGAAAACATACAGTGGCATCTAAACAACAAATATACAGGATTGTAGTGGAGGAGAAGACTTTGTGTATAATTCCAGGAGTAGTTTGTAAGTTTTCTGCCTGTAGCTACCAGTCAGAACAATTCATTGACCTGCTTGGCAGTTCCCTAAGAGTTTCTTGTCAGCACTGGCTTTCATGCTGTGCATTTCTTTTTTCCAAGTGTTTCCCAGATGGATGTGCAGACTTTGTTTGGCTCTCTTCCAGTCTTTCCCTTACCTGCCGCTGCATGTGTGTTGCTTTGTTCTGCTTCCTTAATGTTGACATCTTCAAGCTCTCTTTCTGATTACTTCTCTGTTTCAATTGTTCTTATATACATAAGGTGTACTTTAGGAACTGATCTGAAGCACCTTTTCCCTGTTTTTCTTTTCCCTGTTTTTCTTTTCCCTGTTTTTCTTTTCCCTGTTTTTCTTTTCCCTGTTTTTCTTTTCCCTGTTTTATTTGGTTACGACCTGATCAGGAAAAGTGATTTCATCTGACATGCCACTGATTGCAGTATGGGCACAGTACTTATGGATGGTGAATTTAATTTAAATTTACTGGGAATTTGCTGTCAGGATTGTGCATAGCTTGTGATCTCATGGGAGAAATGCTGAGTGACAGTTGGGATTTTCCTTTGCTTTCTTGCTTTCCGCATTCCAGGTTTGTTTGGGAGGAGAAGATCATAGAACCATTGGAATTACTTTAATCAGACTGTGCCATTGACGCTGGTAATGTTATTTGTTTGTTGCAGCTGAAGGATACAAGGAGCAAAAATACAAATACTTAAGAGTCCGCTGGAGCCTTAATTGCAGTGTAGTTAAAGAGTCAGTGCTCTTCAGTTGGTTTAACTTAATATTTTTTTTCCTACAAATTTCTGCAAAAACATGTTTTGTCCTTCCTGAACTGTTGCAATTTTTAATACCAATGCGAGTTTGCTTATGAAAAGGTGTCCCAGGCAATGTGATATTTTGGGGTTATTTTAGTAATCTAGGAGAAAATAGGTTGTAGACATTGCTGAGTGGTTTGGTCTAGTTACCCATTTCAATTAATACTCTACTCCTTGGTAGTGCTTAACTCTTGACAGCTTCAGAAGAAGAAACCTTACAGCAGCTACACAGAGCTTTTCTCTTTGGAAAATGTCACTTTATAACTTCCTCTGTCAGAATGGCATAGATTACTATTTTTCTTCTGAAAGCATGAAAGTTTCCATGTTTTAGGTTTGTTCCCCCCCAACCCCCCTTCTTAAAACAACTTTCACTTTGCTTCTATTAGGAAGAAGGCTAACACAAACATGAGGTGTCTGTGTCCATGTCCTTCCTCTGCCATCGCTTTTGAATGCATTCTGCCTCACTTCAGCCAGATTTGACTGAGAATCAGAGATGTCAGGGGTTGTTGCATTTGCATGTTTGTTTTTAAAAAATGAAGGAGGCTGAAGAGGAGGGCCTGAAGAAATAAATCCTCAGGGGGAAAAACCAAAACATTGTCCTTTCCAGTGCTTGAGGGAAGCTAACTCTGTCCTATAGAAACATCCAGTCCTCTTTGACTAGTAGACTGAGCCACTGCCTTGTGGCAAACCATTCCGTGGACTTTCTGAACGTTTTGTGAAGAGTAATATTGATACGAGAATAAAAAAATGTCATGTGGATTTCCACTACTTGTAGTTGTTCATATTCTCAAAGGGGTGAGGTGAGGAAAGGATGAACAAAGGAGGATGAGTATCATTGTGTGGAATGAAACGAATTGTACTTAACATAAAAGCAACTGGAACAGAGAGATGTGATGTATGTTGCTGCTGAATACAGAGAAGGGAATTTGTCTTATTGTAAAATACTAATTGCCAAGTGGATTTTATTTCCAGTTCTGTCATTGTTTTTTGTTTTAGGTCCTGTTTAATATGATTGTAGAAGTGCCACGTTGGACAAATGCAAAAATGGAGGTAATTAAGAAAAATACCTTGATTATATAGGTATTTATGAAAGTTATGACAATGCAGTGGCTTCCAATAGTCAAAGTTTAATCAGAGTGTGGATTACGCTTTACACATAAAATTTTCTCTGTTAAAAAATTATTTTGAAGTTGTGCATACAGACACTTTCTTTGCGATTATAAAAAGTGTTGAGGTTCTAATTTTGTTTCCCTTCTGCAGGTGAGCACTGCTTCTTGACAGCCCTCTGACTGCAGAGTGCAGCATACCTGCAAGAGTCCTAGGGTACTGGCTTGCAGGACATTGTCCAATGTTTAGTCTCGCTCTTGCTTGCTCATAGAGCATTCCACTCAGAGGATTTAATTCCTTTCATTTCTGCTGTATAGCGTGCTAGCCCAAATCCTGACAAATGGAGCTGCAAATGAAAAAGCATTTCCTTGTGACAAAAATATATTTGGGGACCTCACTGATTGAAAGTATCTACTCCTGCAGGGACATACTTTAAAAGTAAATCCTAGTGGGTTGTTCCTCTGCAGTTACAATATAGAAGCTGAGTAATGATTCATCTGTAGTGTTTGTGAAACGACAGATCTCACCAGGATATGTCCTATCTTCCTGAACGTTTGTATTAATTTTAGGAATGCTTCCCGAATGCTTTTAAGGAAGTTTGTGGTTGAGCTGTTAACTATTTTGATTACTAAAAATAACACCAAAGTACCTCCCCAGCCTGTTATTTCAGGATTTGGTTTTCTCCTTTCCCTGATGCTGGAAAATCATTTGAACTGTGTTTACCACCACAGTTGTTATTCTGCAAGCAGGGTTACCTTGCGTATTTACCTTGTATTTTAAGATGATGATTTATTGTGGAAGTTGAGTTCTCTTTTGCAGAATTTCCCTTTGACAATGGTATTTGAACTCTCTGCGTAAAGCTCAGGTTGCTCTCCCTCCCCTTCTCTTGGCACATTATGTCAAGGGTAGAAAAGTTTACAGTCCTGTTAGGTTCCAAAATCAGTGGGTTTAGACTTTTCTGGCTTGATAGAGGAGACCAGATGTAGTTCTTTAATCTATAACTTTTAACATACTTGAAATTTTCTGCATTAATCGTTAAGGCAGTTGTCTGGCCTTGCCATTGTGTCCTGGCAGTCCTTCAGTTCAGACTGTGGTGAGGTGCTAATACCAGGTCTTGTCTGCATCTCCATGCTGAGGTTCCCTCACGTGGAATGGAGACTGTAGGAAATCAAACCTTGCTTTACGATGAATGTTTCCCACTGTTACATCCCCAGTGCCAGATCTTCTGCTCATCAGTTTGTTGTATTTCTGTTGTTCTTCCCTTGATTGTACTGAAGGTGCTTTTCACGAGACTTTTGTCTGTTGTCACTTACTCCTCTTTGTCCTGGTTTACATCAAGAAAAAGCATTGCTGAGCTCGGCTTCTGTCAAAGTTCCAGGTGGCATATTCGAGGCCTTCACTGTTAAGTTATGACCAGAAGCAGGTAGAATCGAGTGTGAAACCAGAAATGTGTGAACCTTGATCTCAGTTCTTGGGGAGGGTTTACTTGTGGAATAAGTGCATGCTATTGACAGTTTGGTGTGGTTCAAAAAGGTGGAATTCCTTTGGGATGGCTTTGGTGGTGGTGCTTTAGGTAAATCACAAGGATGTTGTGCAATATATATGGACTAAGGGCTCTGTGCTTATGCACACACGCTATGTACCACCTGAGCCAGTGTGTGGTCATAGCCTGTAACAAACGTGATGCCATTCAGATGAGTGTGTGTAAGCAAGAGCCAAGCCAACATGTGTTGGGTTGTGGTGTGTCAAAAGGATGGTTACAGTGAATTAGCTGATGTGTGGTAGGTAATTTATATGGCAGTGGGTTTGTATTTGAGGTTTTGGGGAGGATCATGACTATAATAAACTGTTCAGCTTTAATTACTTCAGTCCTTCTGTGAGTGCTTCTTTGGGAATAAGAATGCTGCCTTCTAATGCTGGCTTAACTCGTTCCAAATCTGCATGAAGTTGGCATTTGGTGACTATGCAGAACTTGTCCTTACTAAAAAGCATTTGTATGGTGACAGGTGATGGAGAGAAGGGTTGTATGCAATAGGAGAGCAATGAACAGGGGGTGAGAAGAAGATGAAACATTTTTCCTGCTGCTGTCAAAGCCCCTGTTGTCTGAAGAACTTGTGCCACTGTTTGTATGTCCATTGAACTTGTACTATGAAGTGTAAGAGCTTCTAACTTAAGTTCTTTCCGATATTTATGTTTGACCATGACAGTCTCCTTATAAATTTATGACTTTCTCTTCTACATTCATTTTTTTTCTTGCATACTTCACAATGTTATTTAAAACCTTAATAAGCTGCTTTTTGAACATGACCCTTGAGATTTAGAGTGAGGCCATCATACTTTTAATAATTCTCAAACCACAAGCACATGCTCCCAGATGGAGCTTTCTAACTGGTTGGGAACAGAATAAATTGCTTTCCATTTTACCATTCTCTCTTTCTCTTTCTCTCTCTCTTTTTCACGATCTGCTTAGATTGCCACTGAGGAGCCGTTGAATCCCATTAAACAAGATGTAAAGAAAGGCAAGCTTCGATATGTGGCAAATGTCTTTCCTCACAAGGGTTATATATGGAATTATGGTGCCCTCCCACAGGTAACATTTTTGTTATAATGGTGAAAGTTTTCTGTCTTCTGTGTAAATTGCCTTGTAAATCTTGGGTACTGCCTGAATGCAAATCAGTTGCAAGAGGGATGTTTCTCTTTGATACATTTGTAAATTGGGATTTTTTTTTTATGTTGAGCTTTATTGTGTCCGTAAATTTTGATCAGAATTTGGGTGTGCCTGTAAATATGTGCTGTGTTTCAGGAAGGAGTTAAATGATCAAGAAATCTCAAATCTTTAGTCCGTGTCTCTGTACTGTAGTGACAGAATTAAACTGTCATGGCCTGCCATTCAATAATACTTTGTCAAGTAGCCCTTTCCTGCTTAAACAAGACATTTTTTTTAAAAACTAATTTAGGATTTTCATGTATTACAGCATAAATTTTAATTGGGATTTCTTAATATCTTTAACAAAGAGAAACACAAGGGCTGTTCTTTTTAAGATTAAACCTCAACTGCCTTAGTTAACTTCTCTCTGAACTGTGAGACTTTAGTGATCATAACACATTCAAAACTTTGAGCCTTGAAAAAGCCCAACTAATGGCTGGGATTTTGAGCATAGTGAAAGGTTTTAAACTTTTTTCATTTCTGTGAATAACACACGAGTTAAATTAGTACTGAAGAACATGATGGAGCTAGAAAAGAGTAATTTGTATTTTTTACACTTAACTGCATAAGCAATGAAAGTTTACTCCTGAAAATCTGCTTATGTATTTGATCCCTGAAGAGGAGATACTAGGCAGGTGCTGGAGTGTAGCAATGAAGTTCTTATCCAGTCAGCAGTCTCAGTAGACTAAGTTTCCAAGAAGATGTAGTTGGAAACCAGCAATTCCATTTAATGTTTTGAAATTCACGTGTGCCTTAGTACAAAGCCAAAATTAAACATTTGAATATTTTCCTGCACAAGTGCATTGTTTTGGACCGATGACACTTTCCCCAGGAGAAATGTTCAGCTCCCCGTGTTACCTTGTGGGTCAGAGAGGGCTGGAGATAATTGTCATTTTTATTTTCTTTCCATAAAGTAATAACTTTAAAATACCAGTTGTATCATTACACCTTCAGTTGCTGCAGTCTAGGTGATACTCCAGATTCCTACTAGCAGTTGTAACAGACAAAATCCGATTCTGTGTCTCCATTATTCCAAGAGGACTTTTCATCAGGATCAGCAGTTGCCCGAAGTTCAGACCTAGTATATGGCTTAAAGATATGTATTTGTGGCTGCTGTTTTATGCTGTGGAACAGAGAAGAAAAAAATGATGGTGGGACTATCATTATTGCAGGAGTTGCTGTACTGTCCAGAGAACAATACCATTCCTAGCGAGTTTTCTTTCTAACCTACAGGTGGAGGGGTGCAGCTGGGCAGGAGAATAGTACCGGTATAATGGAGCCTTAAATAAAAAGCACTTTGGAAGAGTATTGGAAAAATAAGTTTTAAGTTGAAATTCTCTGTTGACTCCACTTTAGCAATTTTTTGGTAACGGTTCTGCTTCTTAAACACCTGAGCATTTGCTTTTCGCAGTTTTGCCTTTTAGTATCAGGCAAGTTCTCAAGAACAAGTTTGAGGTGGGGGTTTGACCATGGACAGCAGGAGCTAACAGTATAGCTCCTTCGAAAAAAGTTTTCTAATACCTTTTCAACAAAACTTCACTGGACTCAAAATTCTGAACAGGAAAACTTCTCAACTTTAGAATGAGTTACTCATTACTAGCCAGTAAGAGACAAAACAAGCACCTGGTAATTAAGTTAGTATAACTTGGCTATGATTCCTTGCTTGTACAGAGCTCAGAGCAGGGATTTGAACTTTCTTCCTGGAGAAGCTTGTTTGGTCTTGAAGCTGCTGGCTGTTCTTGGGAATGTACACATCTCGGAATACTCAGAAATGTTTCATACCTAAATTTAAAAACTTTAAAAAGCTAGTTTGGTGCTGATAAATCCATACCTAGGAGCTTGGTTAGCTCAAAGCGTACATGCTTTTGAAAGCAACTTCTGTTAGTGCCATGGTATTTAAAGAGTATAATAAGAATGTGATCGTAGGATGTTCTAGCTTAATCCCACAACCACTAGTAACCTGAAAAATACATATTCAGGGTCCTCTGATGCCTTAATCACTGCAATTTGATTAAGTGTGTCTGTTGAGTCACAAATGCAGTTAATACTTGTGTTACCATGTCCTCAGTAATCGTCATGTTACTTGTCCTGAATATGAGGATGAGTTACTCAATGTCAGTCCATTTGCTGTATATTTGTTTGTTTTTTCTTTTCGCATTGAGCAAGACTGTTCTCAGAAAGCTCATGTTTTTATTGGTGTTTTTATTAATCTCAGTAATTTAGTGGTTAGATGAATTGTAATTGTAGATCAGCTGGTAACTGATAATTCTCTTTCCTTTGACAGACCTGGGAAGATCCAAACCATACAGATAACATTACAGGATGCTGTGGGGATAATGATCCTATTGATGTTTGTGAAATAGGCTCAAAGGTTTGTCTTTATCAGGATTAATTTAATTTATCAAGGTTAATTTAATAGTTTGGTAACAAGTTTTGGAAAAGAAAGGCAGATGGAAAACAAGTAAAGATGGTAATAGTCTCAGGGGATGACCGAAGTATGAATAGAGGATATGAGGAGGGAATAGGTAAGGAAATGGTGGATTTTTTAAAAAGGAGAAGAAAAGCAGGATTTGGTAAAGTCTGTGTACTGGATAAAAGGGGAAATAAGAGAACACCACCCTGAAGTTCTGTGGCTGGACAGTGAGATTTGGGGGAAGGAGGAAGGGGTTAAGATTTTTGGTGAAGGAAAAGTTTTCTTTCTTTTTGCCTTGTTAGCAGTACTGGAGCTAGGAATAGGTTTCTGAAAGATGAGGAAGTATGGCAGCATCATGCACATAAAATGACAAGGTCAGCCACGCAAAGGAGGTGAGTTTGAGTTTTCTCATGGGTGCAAACAGAAGTAGATCCCTCTTCTGTAGAGGAGAAGACAGGAACCTGTTGCAGTGTTGCAGAGTTACGAGCTTTGGAGTGGGTTGATGAAAAAGAGGTACAGCAAACACCATTAGTAGGTATAGGGGAAAGGTTTAGCTCACTGAAAGAAAATTCTGCATATCTGGAGGCAGCAAAGAATGGAGCAATCTTCCTTGATATCAAAGATGGGGTTATGAAATGGATGAGTTTGGAACAGGGATCTCTTGGGATATTTTACGTAAGGAGAAATTTACTTGGTGAGCTCAGCAAAGGTGGCTTTATTTGAGGAAAGGAACCTAAAGCTGAATTTCAAGGGATCCAGAAAGAGTTATAAAAGTAATATTATCTGGTAGGGAGAAGGTTCCCAAGAGTTGTGCTGATACTTCTGGGGAAGGGGTTTGTGTTTATAAGTGTGTATTGGAGTCTAGAGGAAGGAATAGCAAGAGATAGATTAAGACTGAAAGTTGAGAAAGTAGAGAGTCAAGAGGCAGGAACGAGTTAAAAGAGTATGAGATACTTCTAACTTGCAGTTTGGGGTGAAGATAAAGAAGGTGTGGGGGAAGTAGGGTAGAAGAGAAGGAGAAATTTTATGGCTCGTGTTGTCTAAAATAAATGCTGATTGGAGAATTGAGGGTTGGAGAATAGCAATGGTGGGAGAAAGGCTAGTAATGTTAAATAGATGTGTGCTGGGTTTACAGATCTATCTTGCAATTCTGTTAGCTGCTGGTCAAAAATGTAGTAAAACTATTTTGTTTGTAAGGTAAAAGAGAAATTCTATGTAGTGTTTTCCAAATCTTTGTGAGATTATGTTCTGTTTCAGATTCGTTCTTCTGGTGAGATTGTTCAGGTGAAGGTCTTGGGTGTTTTAGCTCTTGTTGATGAAGGAGAGACAGATTGGAAGATAATTGCGATCAGTGTGGATGACCCAGAAGCTCAGAAAATCCATGGCAAGTATTTTTATCTTTCTTAATGCAAGTTATGTCAGCAACTTGCACAGTGGAGTGGTACCTGAGTTTAGGCCACCCAGGACAAGAAGAGGCAGACAGCAGAAAGACAAGACTTTTCTTCTTTTTGTTGTTGTTTAAATCAGGTGCTTCCTTCAAGGAGGGCATATGTGCTTTCACGCTAAGCTTTTGAAAAGGTTCACTTGGATTTTCAAGAGGACCTGTCATGCAGAAAGTCTTTTGACTTCTGAAACACAACTGCCTTAGAAAGTGACCTCTTAAAATTACAGGCTTATTTCCTGTGTAATAGTGCCTATTTACCCACTCAGATTATGTAGCACGCTGCTATTTTCCTTGTTGAATTTGCAGGCATTGTGTTGCATTCTGAAAAGGGCTGTATGTTTCCAGTGTTTTGTCACTTGTAACTGGGTTACTTCCAGGGTTTGTTGCCTAGTATGAATGATTAGGTTTCACCTTTTAGCTTGAAAATTTGCATAGTAAACTGCTAATGCAGCTCACCCTAATGTCAACCTTGATGATGACTAGCTGTGCCGGGGGAAATATCCTGTCCAGACATGTCCTCCTTATGACCGTGATTTTGGTATCCAAATAGAATTCAAGTACTAAAATGTGTCTGTGTGAATAGCACGTGGTGTAATTCTGCTTGCAGACTCTTCGATAAGATGATGATACAGATGTGTTAAAACTGCAGGGAGTTAGGTTTTTACAGCACAGATAAAGTGCAGGTTTTCTCTGGATAAATGGAGGTTCCCCTCCTCAAATGCAATGTTACTGGGAATCATGAGAATTAAGTGAGGAGGTCTTGTCTAAAAGTTAGTGATTGTTGTGAGACCAAAACCCACCTATACCATTAGGTATGTATGACCAGAGCCTGCACTTTGTTGGTAGGGAGTACCAAGGCACAGAGTGGCCTTTCTGTAGGAATAGGGCTATCCAGTACCTTTTTAAGGAATTCTGTTTCTCTGCCATTGAGGCTTTTTCCTGGTTTCTGAACGTAAAGTAAGTATATCACTGGACTGGCCCTTCATTCTCAGTTTTCTTGCAGGTTGCTTTCACATGGAGAATACTTGACTTGTGGGGAAAGAAGGGGAGAAGAGGAAATGAGGAAAAGGAGACTCTTGGGTTGATGCTGATTAAAATCATTGGGCAGATGAATTACTACATAGTGTTTATGACTCTTTAACTACTTTGGCAGTTAGAGATTAAGAAGTTCAGCTTAAGGAAATAGTAAGTAATAGTTTGCTGTTAATGTTAGTATCAATTTAAACCTCTCCATTATGTGCAGTGAAATGCGGTATGTGTCAGTAGTTAAAAGACAAGTAATTAGTACTTTATTTCTATACACTGTTCTGTTTAACTCTTACCTTTTTTTCTTAACAATTTCTGAGAGAGTTTAATCGGAAAAGTGGGTGAGAGAATTTAAAAGGACTCCATTAAGTAGGGGTAAAACTGAGACAATTTATGCCACTGGGTTAAGTAGCTCTATTTAATATTTATCCAGTTTAATATGATTTCCCTTTGGGATTGGAGTTGCAGTCGAGGATTTACAAAAGGAAAGAAAACAGGGAAAAAAAAAAAGCCCCCATCTGCTTTCACAAAACAGGACTAGCTTGCAGTGTTTAACAGCAATCCTTCAGTCTGAAAACAAACAAATCTGTTGGAGTAGGCAGTACAGTATGTCCTTTTATACTTGTTTTTCCCCCTTCCCAAAAATGTTAATTATTTCAGCATAAAGGGATAGCAGCTACAGATAAAACTGGTATCTCCCTCAATAATTGACGTGCTGCTGTGTTACAGTGGTGGCCTCCTAGGGAAA